AAAAGGGAGGGGAAGAAAAGGAGGAAATGAAAAAGCAACAAGAAACTTTAAGTACAGTGGTACCTCAGGATATGAATGCCTCTGCCAACGACCTTGTCGGGTTACGACCAACTCGGGATACGCCCAGAGTCATGGAACGCATTAAGTTCGTATCCCGAGGGACCACTGTAGTTTGAATACAGTAATCCAAACAAATGGTGTATACATATACACAGCATGTTGCATTTTTTGTTACAACAGCTTGGAGCTCTCATACAGCCAAACCCTTTTGACTGAGGGAAGCTTATACATTACGCAACTGCATTTCAGACATTTCATATACCTCCTCATTCGCACGTTTTTAAGCAATAATAACTGCTTCCAAGTAATATATAAAACACTTGACACAATGTTTACATGCATGATAAATTTCCAGTGGTATACTGCATGCTGAACAAATCTGGATATATATTCCAAAAATGAGGTAGAGAATTTAATACTCTTTCAGAGTAATGTCTGGAATATTATTCAATCAATGAATTTGAAATACAGTATATTCTAATGTTCCATATATGGTCCTGAAAGTGGAAAGGTCTGAAATATCACTACGGTAATGGTCCTACCAATGTGCAGCTAAAGTGTATTATTTCACAGGGCATTTATTTCATTCTGGTTAAAGAATTAAATGCATTTTATCTTGGTTGTTTCCAGAAATATTGCTATAAAAGAATTCCTTGGCTACTGACTGACAAATGGCATTCTATCATTTTATAATGATAATCATGATAAACCTTCCAATTGGCCTTTCTCAGCTAACATTTTTCCTTCTCTTCTGATCTTCCAGTTTCAATTAAAAAAAAATCTTTTTAAGAAACCTGTTGATAAAATTTTCTGATTTTTCTACAGCTATAGTAGTCCTTCCCAACAAATATGTATATGAAATTTATATACTGTATGTGATATATGAAATATTTCTTTCCATACTGCCCTTCATCCAAATGCTCTCAAACTGGATCAAAATTATTTTGCCCCAAGTTAAAACAATTCAGGTTATTTGAAAACACCAATGAACCTTAGCTGATAAGAGCAGCAGATAAGGAAAAAAACCCAAATAACTTTTACTTGCTCCTTGATACTCTTAGATTTATTAATTCTGTTCAGATCCTATTGATAAAATTAACAAATGTCCTTAAAAACCTAAGACAATATTTCCTTTATAATACAACCTTCCATTAAATATTATTTCCCTTTTTTCTTTCATAAATAATTACTAATAAAGGTGATGAAGATGTCAACTGACAGAAGCAACAGAAAACCAAATGGGGAAAGTCAGTATGGAAAATCAGTGTATAAAACTAATCAGTGGTGAACTTTCTTTCTAAGGTGGCTTTTCTTCCAAACATAGAGCTTATGTTCATAGTATTCCGCCAAAGAAAACTTCCATACTCCATTACTTTAAGAATCTTTAAACATATCCATGATAAATGGTTGAACAAAATGTTTAAAAAGGAAGGCAATTTGCTGTAGATAAACTGAGCAACTGCTAGAATGAAGTCATAACAATTAACTGGGTGTAACAGTAATATTATTATATTCTCTAAAAATTGCAATGACAATAAACAATTTTTAAAATTTAAAATCCTCTCCTGACATTAAACTTTAATCTGGGAATGCTTGTCAATTGCCAGAACTAATGGAGGTTAAATAAACTATATGTTTGAATTATTCCCTTTCCTTTCACTCTCTATTATTGTTGTGTCAGGACTGTCAGAATATAAGCAATGGGCAGATTCTTTTAAGACTTGGGGAATAGAATTTTCAGTTTTGAGTGCCAGGACAGATTCGAAAAAGAAAATGAGAATGTAAAAGTACTTACACACAAACCATAATAGCACCCACTTGCCAAAAAAAGTCTACCTGTTATTGGTGAACAGCTCAAGCTAAAAGTATTTCTCATCAATGTCAGATTTATACTGTTTTTACTCCAGGAGCACAAGGCAACTTACATGGTAGCTCCCGTCATTTTATCCTTATAAAAACAACCCTGTGAGGTAGGATGGGCTAAGAGATGGTCACTACCCCAACTTTACCTGGTGAGTTTCCATGGCTGAGGGAGGATCTGAACATGGATCTCCCCAGTCTTAGTCCAACACCTTAACCGCTGTACCACACTGGCTCTCGTACAGTACATGTCAGTATGTGACACATTAGAGCACTGGTCCATTCTGTCAATTACAGAATTCTATTTTTATAAAGCCACGCTATTGTCATATACTTTGTTTTCCAAAATACTTTTAGTATGCAGCCACCATAAACATTCTGAATTGAAAAATGTTTTGAGATTAATACCATATAAGAATATCCTGCAAATAAGTCACATTCTGTCTTTTTCTTTTGCCACCAGCAGTTTCATATTCTAGGGCATTCGGAAGCTTGCTAAGGATGATGTGGAGCTATATCAAAGATTTAATTTTTTCATAACAGTGCAGTTCAGAGCTGTGTTTTTGAGATCATGTTTAACTGTGGCTTTGAGTTGTATTGATTACAACAATTACCTTAATTTACAGATTTAAAAACAACTTGTTCTCTTCAAGCAACTTAACATGATCATTAAAAGCTAAATCTGTCGTTATGTGAGAAAAGTATGTATTTAATATTTTTCCTGTTATCATCGTTTTGTTTTGTCACGATAGAAATATATATTTTGCTGCTCTTTTTCCCCAAAAAAGGAAGTAGGAGTTGGAAACTCAGCCAAAATTTCCTCAATCTAATAGTCCTTAAGTGGTTTTCACTATTGTGAAAGAAAGTTTCTATAAACTTTCTGCTTCATTACATGTATGAAAGGGCTGGCAAGTTGTTATCTTGATAATATGGAGTGAAGGGAAGAGGGGCACAAGTTTCCATTTATTAACTGAAGTTGCTGCTCCCAAGCACACATTTTATCTCTCAAACTTTAAAGGTACAGAATAAAATGAATAAGATACTACTAATTGAGACAATTAGTAGCAGGCAGGAACACTTTTCCTCTAAACCAAAACCCAAAAATAGCCCAAATGAAAGTGAGCTGCCTACCAGTTTAATGAAACTGTTATTTACTACAAAGGGCACATTATAGGAGTATGCAAATCTTTTGAAAGAGATGCTTTGCAATGCACAAGGCAGAGCACGTGTGTGGCGCCTCTCTTCACATCACTAGAACAGCTGCCACTTTCACCCCCCAGTTTGCACAGTGCTTTGCGTGTGTGTATGCTCAGCCACTTCATTTCACTAGTAAAAAAGCAAAGCCAGTTCTGAAACAGCTGCAAAAACCTGGAAATAAGACACACCTCCTTTAACAATTTGAAAAGTGCTTAATATATTGTATGCTCTTTCACACTGCAAAAAAAGCTGTTTAAAACAATTTGCATAAACATTTCAATTTATAATTCAGTAAAATAAATAAATGAATAAAAAATAGTTCTGTATTCACTACTCTGAAGTGTAGATCATTAAGGATTAGGAAGATTTCAAACTCTTCTGGCTCCCAGCATTTGTGTTATGCTTGCACATATTTCACAAAAAATATCTATGTTTCCTTTTTGAGATTGATTGATTTATTTATATTTCAAATTTAGATACCGCCCATCTCACAAAAAATGACTCTGTTAATGCAACCTTACAGTAAACATGGCTTTATATACCAGTTATGTAAGCTCTCTGCAAAATCTGAAAGTAATTTCATAACGTTTTTGCCTGGATTTCTGTTAGGCATAATGAAACAATTGTATTTTGAAAATAAAAATATGTTCTATATCAGAAAAGCCCTGGATTGGAACCATATACAGATTTTGAATATGACGTGTTCAGAAAGATCCTTGACTTTACTCTCTCTACAATCACTCATATCCTAAACCACGCTGCACCTTTTAAAATCTCCTGTTTGGCATTTCTATAATATACCCAGTGCCAGTCTGTAATGGTATGTGGGAATGACCTTGGGAGATGGGAGGAAGAGCTGCAGGCAGCTGAGCCCTCAGGAGCAATGAGAGCATGGCCAACATCTCAAAAGGGACCCTCCCTAGTTTCTGGACTGTAAAGGTGAGGGAGGGAGAGATGTACTTTCAGACCTGAAAGGGTCTGTTAATGTACCCTTACAGTAAAGACAGAGCCAGTACTCCTGAGTGTGCTTCTTGTCTGGGCTACTTTGCAAGGCTCACACAGCCATACCCGTGTCTTACCTTGTTTCTAGTTTATTTCCCTCTAATCTTCCTAACTGCCAAGTTAATAGTGACATTCACAATTGGGGTGCGGAGGGGCGGGGGGCTGGAGGCAGGGGCAGAGTATTATTGCCCTGGTTTGGCTGTCCTGGTGGGGACTGTCCGAGTGGGGACTCCTGCCATATTCCTTCTGCCACAACAAAGCCACTGCCACAGCAGCTAGCTCCCTCAACACTATCAAGGTCTGCTCACCAATCTACTTTACAAATGTGAGAAGAACTTGAAGAAGTGACACATCTGGGAGGCAGTTGTTGAAGAAGCATAGTTCTAAATGTCAGGTCTCAGCATGG